AACGTCATCGCCCCGCAAGCCGCAACGAATCGATTGCTCTCAGTCTCCGGTCAGGAAGTTCCAAGAAGAACCCAGTCATGGGCGGGACTGGAGAGTAAATGAGAAGAAAGAAAATGTCAAAGCTTCTGTGTAATATGATCACCGCCTGGCTGTGCAGGAAAACCGGGTCAATGCTGGCGATGGAGAACTCTTGCAGAGAGCCGATCCTCAAATCCCGTTTAGCATTGATTGTGGCACGAATAAACCGGTGACCTGTCAAATCGAGAACGCTCCAGGTTTCTGGACACTCTTTTTTGCTGTGGTAGTCAAATCGATACCCAAGTCATTTTTTCTGCTTTCCTTTCGATGAGGGGAGAGTTAATCCGCCGTGTCTGTACTTCGTAGTGAACGAGACCATGAAATGGAACGTTGCCCGATTCACTCTTCTCCCAATCTAGGCAGGTCCCAGGTCCCCAGTCTTTGCTCGCGCTTAGGTTCCATGTTTGGACCCGGTTCGGGTGCCCAAGCCACCGCATCAACATCCCCTGAAATTTTAGAGGGCTCCGCATCCCACTTGCATGCAGGTTGAGCCCAAATCGAGCCCCTGCCTTTTCTTGATTGGAGCATTGTCGGTGGTGTGTCTTATGTGCCGCCGTCTCTGTCGAGTCGAATCTGTACCTGCACCCCGGCATCGAAATCCGCCCCCCCGGCACCATGTTCCTTCTTGTCTGTGTGAGACAAAGAATAGGACGATGACGACTCGTCCTAGCACATGTGGGCCCAAGAAGACGTACTTCGTAGGATCATGGGCCAACTCTGATGGAAGGTCATCCTGGGCGGGCCCTTGGGGTTGCCTCCTATTGTTTCCTTTCGTTTCCCGCAAGGCCGCCGGCCGGGGGCGTGTAGTTGTGGATGCATACGATCGACGACGAAGCCAAGGAGGGCGTGTGGGTGGGACGGCTTGACCTACACGCCCCCTTTCACCAAGGTGCTTTGTTAAGTACGGAGGATATAAGAACCTCGGGTGCCACCATCGAACTCACATCTCGTCCTTTGTGCTCCAGGTCCAGGTTCAAGTTCAAGTTCAGGTTCCTTTTCTTCAGGCTTCGATCAGCCGTTTGTATTTTTTGTTTCCCGTTGTCCATTTGTCTTCCTTTCTGACACTCCTTCTTTGGCAACCCTCGATTCTTCCCTTTTCCCTCGAGAGTACCAACCTTTCTTTGAGACGAGATCTCGATATCATCAATAAGCGAACAATTGCCTTCTTGCCGGTCAAGCAGTCAAACGTTTCGAACGGGTATTTCGTGCCGGGACCTTTGTCTACGGTCTAAGTGCTCTTCAGTCCACTCCTTTATCATCAGACCAAGTTATTGTCCAGTCTGCTGGAAAAAAAAAAGTCACAATCGCCATTGTCCCTGGCACCTTCCACTTCTCACAGCTTCCATTCACAACTTTGAGAGCTTGGCTCCTTCCTCTGACTTAAGAAGAACTGCTCCTTCGCTCCTTCCTCGACTGAGCTCTTGTGATTTCGTGAATCTCCCACAACCTTGACTCACGCAGAACATTGCATCGCCTCGTCAACCGCCACCACATCGCATCATCTTGCTCCAATTGTCGAGTATAAAAACACCCCAAGGCATCCAAACATCCTTTCGACTCCCTCTCTCCACCTCCTCGCCATCGTTCTGCAAAGTCGAACTCAGACACTGCATCTCGACCGACTCGCTCCATTTTATCAAACAATCAAGGTATCTCATCTCAGTCAATCAATCACAATGAAGGCCACTCTTCTCTACGCCCTCTTGGCTGTCGCCTCCCCGGCCTACGCCCACATGGCCCTGAGCGACCCTCCCCCGCTCCGCTCCGCCAACAACCCCAACAACGGCGGCGACATCGACTTCGACATCACCTCGCCCCTCAGCAGCGGCAACTTCCCCTGCGGCGGCTCCCTGAGCCTCCTCGGCACCTCCAAGGGTGCCCCCGTCGCCACCTACAAGGCAGGCCAGTCCTACCAGGCTACCATCACCGGAGGCGCCCCCCACAACGGCGGATCGTGCCAGTTTTCTCTGTCCTACGACAAGGGCGAGACCTGGACCGTCATCGAGAGCATCGTCGGCGGATGCCCTCTCAGCTCGGGCCAAACTTTCCCATTCACCATCCCCTCGGACGCCCCTTCGGGCGACGAGGTCGTCTTCTCGTGGTCTTGGCTCAACAAGGTCGGTAACCGAGAGTTTTACCAAACTTGCGCCGTTGTCACTATCGAGGGCGGCTCCTCGGCGTCTAGGACCCGTCGGGAGACCGTTCCTTTCAACAGCCGCCCTGCCATGTTTGTCGCCAACATTAACGGCCAGTGCACGACCACCGAGGGCGTCGACCCGGCGTTCCCTAATCCTGGTCCGGATGTCATCGTTAACTCCCCCGATGCCACCGTTCCCGCTGGCTGCGGTGCTGCTACTCAGCCTGATGTTGGCGCTGGCACGGGCAACGGTAGCGGAAACAACAATGGTAACGATGGTGGTGCCAACACTCAGCCTGCTTCGAGTGTAGCTCCTGTCGTTCCTCCGACCAGCGCCATTGCTCCTCCTGCTGTAACCTCCAGCCCTCCCAAGACTGCTTCGCTGTCAGTATCCCCCTCTCCTTCTCTAATCCAAGTGACCACAAGCTCACAATCAAGCAGCCCTGGCGGAGTCTTCGTTACCCAACCCACCACCGCTCCCGAGCCTACACAGGCTCCCACCACCCTCCTAACCGTGACGAAGCAGCCCGAGACGTCGGCAGATGCTCCCGCTACTGTCACCCCCGGTGACGGCGGTAATGACTCTGGAAACGGCAACAACACTGCCCAGTCTGGTCCTTGTGCCACTGAGGGCCAGTGGAACTGCATCGGCGGAACCCAGTTCCAGCGCTGTGCCGCTGGCCAGTGGACCGCTCCGATCGCCATGGCTGCCGGAACTTATTGTCAGCTTACCGACTCTGACAATCTCACAATTGCTCGACTTGGCGCTCGTTTCCGACGCAGCGGAAAGCTCGCTGCTCGGGACGCCGAGGTCGTTGTTTAAGCGTGTTGTAACTCTTCGAGGAACGAGTCCTTTTTCTCTTCTCTTCTCCTCTTTTCTTTCCCCTCAATTTGGGTCTTTTTTTTTGTCTCTTCTTTCTTCAATGGGGTTTTTCTTTTTAAGGCTATGGACTAGCCATCATGTCATGCATCAGTACAGGAGGAAACACACGAAAGGAAAAAAACAGGGAGCTTGAACATGGAAACATGGAAACATATGAGCATAACGGACAACCCATGGCATAGATAGTTAACGGCCTTCTCCTTTTTTTTTTCGATTCCCCGTGCTATTCATTCGTATCTCGTCATCTTCCCCATTCTTGCGCAAGTGCGTCTCATCAATTGTGCTATCGTTATTCGTAATTTGCATATACGGTGCCTCCTATTTTTTTTTTTTTTTTTTTTTTTTTTTTTTTTTCGTTGGGCATTTGCTCTTTGGAAGGGGAGGGGACTTTTCTTATATTTCTCCTTCATGTCTTGATGATGTCCTGCTGGGCTGCAGGTATTGGCGTTTCTTGCTTTAATAGAATGGCTTGGATTTGAAACGTTCACCGTCCTCGCTTTTGCTTCTCGATTCTTCTCCCCTCCCGTCGAAATCGTAAAAAAGCTTGCTGCGAGCATCGAGCTACAGAGGTGTCTGAGAAATCGAAAACCCGTACCGGCGGGACTGTTCGTATCTGTCCAGTGTCGTTTTCAATGTTTGCTTGCTCTTCGACCACTCGTTTCACGAAGTTCGCTTACGTCCATCACCAACAATCTACGAAAGAATGGACCATGAGGTTTTGAACTTTTTTTTCCCATCTCGATTTTAGCTAAGGTCCGCAAACCTTCTCACATAGTCCCAGAAACGCTCGACTAGGAGAAAAAGAAAGACACTACCCTTTTCCTTGTACTCCTAGCCCCTATGCGAGAAGATGCACCGTTGATGCTTAGGCCGGTTACCACAAATCCTCAAAACCGCTAGAAATAGGAAGAGGGGAGGGAAAAGGAAGAAGTAGAAGAAGAAGCAAAAGAAAAGAAGACACGCGGATGAGCAGACCTCCTGGGCTGTCGAGGAGAACCCATTTGGTGCCCGCTGCCTCTCTCACGGCCCGACCTTCATCTTTCTTTTTAAGCTCCTTCTTCCAATGTCTGCAAAATATTTCCTTCTTTCCCGCCTTCACAACCTCTCCCTTAAAACACCTTCGTGTGCCACTCGCCCAACTCCACCTTGTCTTCAAATACGCCGCTTCAGCTCCCCTCTCCGACCTAAATCTGGAACGCTGGACGTTGGCCGATTCCGACCATTGCAATGCCCGAGAAGGAAATATAGAATAAAGAAAAGGAGCAAAGAAAGGGAAGGCTGCCCCGTAAGCCTCCCCTTTTTGATGGGTCATCAACGTTCCAGGCTCGACCTCCGCATTCTGACCGTTTTCCAGTCGCCAAATAGTCAATGATTGATACCTATCAGAGTATCCCTGTGTCGTAACACCCAAAGACCGCTGTTCCAGCGGTGAGAGGGCGGGCTTAGAACCAAAGAGCAAGAAGGGAGGAGGCGGAGACGGAGAAAGCCTTGGCGGGGCTTTGCAATTGGTTCAAGCCAATGGTGCTAGCAAGCCAGGAGGAGGAAAAGAAGAAAAAGAAAACCTTGTGCTTCGCCACCAAGAAGCATGCCGAGGACTCGGCTTCCTCTGTCCGATGAATCATCCTGTAGACCTTCTTGTAAGATGCCTCCTAGAAAGTCAAGTAAAAAAGTAGTGTATCGGTGTGACGCCTCCTCGCGAGGCGTCGCCACTGACAGATGTAGGGTTGGTTGTTGTAGGGAAATGATGGCTTGCTGGACATCATTGTATGGCGTGTAATCGATGATGAGAGTGGCGATTTGTTAACATATACTGGCTCCTAAGAGACTATTAAACGACCTAAATGGCGCTGGTGGGCGACAAGAAACTGGCGCGGGTGCTGTTGTCCTCGAGAAGCGCCCCGTTCATTTCGCTTCTTCGGGCACATCAGGCACCCTTCCTTGGGGTCCCGAAGGGATGCTGTGCGCGGGCTGGTTTAACTGATGTTGTTGGCCGTGAGGAGTAAAGTTCTTATTGCCATAGTTGCCGCCTCCTCTATGCTGTGGCCCGCCAAAATGGTGAATATGTTGCGGACTACTGCCATAGTGGTGGGCCGCTGGGGGAACGTAATTTCCCCTTGCATTGTTCACTGCATCGGAAATCACGAATGTTAACAACCCATGTCCCGTTTTCATCTGGGCCGTAAGTGGCGTGGGTACTTACTCGGGCTAGGCTGCTGAGGTGTGTAGACGGGCTGCTGGTAAGCCATGCTGGGGCTCATTCCGTAAGGCTGGCCTTGGGCAGAGCCTTGGTGAGCCATCGGCGGCGCTGCGGGGCGGCCAGGGCTGGGATATCCGTTAGAGCCCGCAATTGGCTGCGGAGGCACCGCGACGGCTCCTGGAGGCATGAATTGAGCCTGCGAAGTAGGGTACATCTGCATCTGAGGAGGTGTAACCATCATACCCTGCGGCCCCGTTACAAACTGCGGCTGTATCATCATGGGTGCTCCCATGTGGCCAGGCTGTTGCGGCATGTATTGAGGGTTGTTCGAGAAGCTTCGGTACTGGCCCATGTGCGGAGCGTTGGGTACGAACGGTTGCATCACGGGCTGTCCATAAGGCACTTGTGCGGGAGAGTTCACAGCCGGCGGGTAGACAGGTGCCTGCGCTATCCTAGGCGAGGCAAATGACTGAGCCGAATTTGAGTGCATCATGCGGTGGTCATCGGTATTGGCATATCCAACGTGAGGCGTGTGTTGAGGAGGAACATGCATGTGCACGGGTGGCATGTGTGGCGAAGGGCGAGCCGGCATGTTGTGCGCTCCATGCTGCAGATGGAAGGGAAGCTGGTGCTGGTGGGCGAGGTGAGGCAGCACATGGGAAGGATTCGGGGTCGACAGTGTGCCTGGAGGGCCTGCAAACGGATTGCGCTCAAAGTACTGCTTGTAGGTAAGGAGCATGGTCGAGTCGGGCTTTTCGTTGTCGTCTTGGCGCTGCCTCCAGGTGGGAGGAGTGTCGTAGGTAGGGCGCAGACCGGCGTTGTCTTCCCAGTTTCGACCTTGAGGGGGCTTGATCGTCTTGATGCAGCTCAAGATATCACACTTCTTGCAATCGACACTCTTGGTCTTGCGTCGGATGATCTGGCGAACTGGAGAGGCCGAATTCGTGACCGTGGATCTGGGGCTCGAGGCGGTGCTTGGGTGGCAGGCGGGGCTGAAGCTTGGAGCAAAGGCATTAGGCCTAAATTCCTGCGTGTTGGGGTTTAGCTTGTTGCCGTGGCCTGGCGTTCCACTTAGACGACGATTATTAAAGGCGCCATCATTGCCAGCGCCAGTCGGAGCGGTGGGCGGGAGACGACCATCCGTCTGGACCGCAACATGGGGAGTTTGTTGCATCTTAAGACGTTGCGCTAAAGTGGGTCTTCCTTGCGTTTGGTGCTGGCCACTCCTGTCGTTGCGGTTGTACTGCTGACCGTTGTAACCCGAGGAGCCGTACGTTTGACGACCACCGCCGTGGCGGTTTTGCGAGTTCGGGTGCGAAGTAGTATGGACGGGAGTCGGGCGGGGAGCCGGTTTTTGTTCTGAAGCCGCTGGTGTGGAGGGCTCGGTGGCCTGTTTGGATTGGGTCTCCTTGGCAGCAGCCTCCTTAGCCTTCGCAGTTTCCTTGGCTCGAAGAACTTCTTCCGCGTTCTGCAGAGCCTTGGCTTGGATTTCCTTCTGTCGGGCCGGGTCCTTCGCAATGATGCCAATCAGATCAGAGGGGACAGGTGTCGATAGCTTGAAGGTGTTCGCAAAGTTTTTCAGCTCCGTCAGCTTTACTTCCTTATCAGCCTTGGTCTTGCTGATTCGAACCCTTTCGGCCTGGCTTCGTTGGCCTGCGGCGAAGTTCTTGAATGACTTTAATAGGTCACGTTCCACAGTTGCGGCTGCGCTGGGCGCAGCTTCTCCAGGCTTGGGTGTGGTTCCCCTTGTGCTGGAAGCCGGAGGAACAGCCGGAGATCGGAGGGAAGGAGCCCCCTTCTCAGAAGCCTTCGACTCTGCTGACGTCTCACCAATCTTCGATTCGGTGGCTTTCTCTGGTTTAGGCTGCTCCGCTCGGGACGTAGCGGGCTTTTCGGTAGCACCCGCGACTTTGGAATCGGTGGAGGCCCTAATAGCTGGCAAGGCGACCGGGGTGGCGACGGCAGGCGTGGACTTCTTCGGCGGGTTCACCTTGAGTTGGGAGGAGATGATGGCTGGGTCGACGGGAGCACCAACAACGGTTGCCTTCGATGTCGGGGCTCGTTTCGCGGGAGGTGTGTACTTGTTTTCGCGACCAGAAGAAAACGCAGAATCTTGACGCTTGACGCCGGAATATCTAGTGAAGGAAAAGAAAAGAGGCGTTGGCACATGGGCTTTCTCGTCCATACCGTTTGCTTACAGGAAAACGGCGAGTTCACTTACTTGTCCTCTTCATCACCATTCCGGTCATCGCCACCAACAAAGTCCATAATTCGCTCCTCGGCGACGTGGGATGTCACCGCAGCGCTTCTCTCAATCTCCCGAGCCTTCCTCTCAGCGGCCGCCATTCGTTCCTTGTACTGCGGGTGGCTCTTGTCAATGGCAGTCGTGTACATGTTCTCATCGTAATCGGTCTGCAGCCCGAACAGCTTCTCATTGGCAGCAAACTGGTCCCAATGGCCCGAAGAGGTGGAAGTCTCGAGGCTATCGCCAAAAGTGTCCGAACTATCGGGGATCCATGGCTTTAGCGTTCGCTCGTTGTTGAAGCGGTTGCTTGAGATGGCCGTGTCTGTGCGAAAACCAGATCGGTTGCCTTGGGGGAGACGTTAGAAAACACATAGAAAATGAGGCGCAAGCGCTAGGGGGAGAAGTTAGCAGGCTGAGAACAAACCATTCTGCACGCGACCCGATGCCCCGCCGGATCGAGAGTCCGACGAGTCCTTCTTGGGCAGAGGCATCGCGGGCGAATATCAAGAATATATACCCTCGTTCTGAACTATCGATCGCTCTTTCTTCTTCAACTAGATCATGCCTTCGTAATCGTCGAATGACTCTTGCCGCGCAAAGAATCTTACGCCTATTCGAGTGCGTTTCGAGGAAATCGAGGGAAAGCTCGCCGAACTATTCTCCGTCAAGGGTTGTTAGCTCTTGGATCGCAGTGAATCTCCCGTTGAGTTGATGGTTTCGATTAATGTTTAACACATTAGGGAATTAAGGAATTAATGAAAAGGATGGTCAGGGCGTGTGTAACATTGACGCCGCCATTTAGGGGAGAGAGTTGAAAGAAGGCATCGAGGCATACGAACAAAAAAGCAGGGAGATCAGGGGACCAACTTGGTTGAGGTCAATTGTGAATATTAGGGGCGGCTTCTCGCTTCAAAGTAGCAGGGAGGACAAACCTTGAATCTGTCTCGCAGAGTGATTCTGGGCTGATATCCTCTCGTTGGAAGAACGAGGCTCGGGATTGTAGGGGGATGGAGAGCTAATGGAGGGGGGTTGGAGGAAGTCGACAAAGGACAGCTGTTTGCCCCTGTTAGCAAGAGCACTCAAAGGCCAACATCAAGGATGAGGCAAAGAGCAGAGAACAATTGTGCAGACAAGAAGCTTAGATAGGATAGGACGAAGCCCAGGGGCGAGGTGTGATGGAAAGGGGATGGATGGCAATCGCAGATGACAGGGGAGTTGCAGCCAACGAACCTGGCTAGCAGTATACAGAAAATTGTGGATTGAAGAAGGGCAGGAGGAACTCGAAGGAACGAAACGCGAAGAAAGGCCTGCTCGATGAGACGGATCGAGTCAAAACGGAAGGCCACCAGACGAAAGAAGTTGGTCTTTCCAGTAACTTACTTCGTACTTCGTACTCGGCGGAATGAGGAAGGCACGAGAAGGTCGAGGATGGATGATGGTAATGGCTGGAGGGTTGGAGAGACCCGACTATGCGTGGTACAAAGGGAGCGGCGGCGGGAGAAGAGGAATGGAAAGACGAAAGTCTTCACAAGCTGCCCCGATCCTCGAGGTGTTCAAGACTTGCCTCCGAATGGGCAACTTGGGATCGTTGGGCGAGTTTCGCTGGATAGTTTTTTGGGGATGGGGGAAAAAAAAAAGGATAATACCGCCAAGGGTGGAAATAGAAACACAGCCCAGGTGGTGTCAAGTACACTTTTTGCTACATGCATCAAGTGATGGATCAATCAATGTGAAGTTGAGGCTTCGACCTAGACTTTTTTTTGGGGGGGGGGGGGGGAAGAGAGGTACTTCGGTCGTAGCTGCAAGTTGTAGGGGATACACTGGTACCCCTGGCTGTTCCTAACAAATGCAACAGCACGATTGTACGAGGTAACTTTCTTAAGACCCGGAACGCTACGAGGTACAAGTAGGATTGTACTTGTTTTCGTTTGGAAACATTTTAAGTGTTATAATAATCCCAGGGGAACGCACCTGCCAAACGAAAATTTCGCACTGTAAATAAGTACAAGGATGGATATTACAAGGACTCCAGTACGGACCGGGACTTGTTTCGTATGCTGTATACAGTACAAAAATAGAATAAACTGTATTGAGACTAGTCAGCATGATCTGATTCCTCTTCGAGCAAGAGCCGGGCGCGATGTACCAATCTCGACTGGTGCGAATTTTAGAACGAGACCACCGAAATCTGTCTTGATCAACAGGGCCATAGTCCGCAAACAGGGTGCCGTCTAGGCTTGGCTCGGGCCCGGGGACAGCGAATGGCTTTGCTGGCCCTCCTCGACCTCCTGCTGAAATTGACACCGGATGGGTCAAGCCGTGGAGCAATTCCACGGACACACACGACCAATGCGCAGGTACCTCACAGGCCTGAGGTACGAACATTTGAGTTGGCAAGGGCAGTGTGAAGTACTTTTCTGCAGTCACTTTCGGTTGAAAGCCCCAAATATTATTACCATTCAAAGCATCCCTTCGGACAAATTTCTAGACCACGCACCGAAACCTTCGACCACGAGACATCGATGGTCTCCACGCTGGAGCGAGGCATCTCCGCGCAAATAAAGGCGGACTCTTTGCCTTGTTCAGATTGTGGGTGCGGGCTTGCTTCTCACGAACCTCGCCACACTCTCGGACTCCAGGACATGAAACTTCTGGAACAATGGACGGATTGCTCACCCCGCAATGATTTTCACTCGCCTTTCAATGTGCTTCTCCTGGCGATCATCTCTCCTCGGATGAACCTCTTTTCTGTTCCGGCTTTGGGAGTTACGAAGTGGCTTGTATTTGTCTGGGTCGTGGACGTTGATATTGTTCCGGGGGTAGGAAAAGTCTCACACGTTTTGACGTCACTTGAACCCATGGCTTGGTGCTACGGAAAGCTTCATCTTTTCAGCATCTGACTAGGCAATTAACCGTCTGGAGCTAAGAGTAAGCATATGTCCTGAGTTCTCACAGTTAAGGAGAAAAAGGGAGAGGGGGGGGGGTTCAAAGTTCATGTTTCTTTCATAAACGCCGCCTCGCAGTCATTAATTAGAGCTAGCAGGTAGTTGGTGATAGGACTTATTATATATCGATTGATGCTCACATTCTAGTCTTTAAGCATGCATAATACTTCAGATTTGACGACTATGCTACTAGAGAGCTATCATGTGTAGACTGTAAAATGCAGCTGGTGATGAGACAATCAATGGCTCTTGAGAGCACCCGGATCAGGCCGAGGGAGTTCACAGAGATTTCGGGAACCGGCCCATTCTTTTGGTTTCTTGCATTGCTGATATATCATTTCTTATACTTCGTAACCATGGCTTATATACCCTAGGAGGGATGTAAGGATCAATATGCAGGCTCTAGAAGAGGGGCAAGCCTCGAAGCCTTGAGCACTCGAGCTGCACGTCAACGTGGCATAAAGTGCATATCCTCCTACATCCCCATCTATCCTGCATGGGAACAGTAAAGACACCTTCGCATAATAAATCATCGACAGGCTGTTCGGGAGAGAGAATCAATAACATGGACGGGAAACTGCCCACTAGAGGCCCCAGCATCCGAAGAAACACAAGAAGCACATTCGGATGCCATAACCTTGAAGTGCAGGGCCAATGGGTAAAAACTTTACAACTACCACTCTATTATTCGCCCCTCTAAACGGTATCAACTCAAGATCCAAGTCTTCTCGGCCATCCGAAATCCGCTGCCCGCCGAGTTGGGGAAAGGGGGGGGGTTGGTGGTGTTTGTATACAGCAAGGAAAAGATGAGTGCTTATATTCACAAAGTGGACTTTCCGGCTCCCCCTAAGCTCTAAATGACTGTTTTAATACTACATTGACAAGGTAACCCAATCTCACTTCTATAATTTTTTATACCTTGAGACCCAAGTCTTGTGCGTAAGGAAGGGCATGGAGGTCACCGACCGTCGCAACGGTGGCCTTGCCCTCGAGGAGAGACTTGGCAACCTATGGTAGTTTTAATTGTTAGCACACATATTGCGTCATCCTCGTGAAGCGACTAAAGAGGTGAAAGAGAAAGAGAATTACATACAGCTTGAACCTTAGCAGGAGTAACCGAGGCGTAGCTCTGGACGAGGGTGGCCGGCTGGGTGGGCTGGGCGCCGTTGACGAGGGCAGAGCCGACAGAGAGGATCGACTCCTTGGAGGACTGCGTCTGGTCGAGAACGTCGAACTTGGCCTTGGCAATCGCCTTGGTGATGTCCTCATTGCTGACGGAGCCGGCAGCGATGCTCTCGAGAGCCTTGACGGCCTCCTGGGCGGCCTGGCGAACCGAAGCGGCAGAGCCGGAAAGGGTGATGGTCAAGAGACCGGCGTCAGAGTAGACGAGGTTGCTGGACACAGCGTTGGCTCCAGAGGAAGCGGCAATCTTGGCGAGGAGGGAGAATCCAGGAGACCACTTGACGGTAGACTGGCCGCCGAGAAGGGCAGCGAGGACGGAGGCCTCGGGGCTGGAGGCGGCGGTGGGGAAAGCGATAGTGATGGCATTGCCGGTGCTGCCCTCAATGCGCTGCTCTCCACCGTAGTAGGTGGTAGCGGCGGACTGGACGGCCTGCTGGCTGGAAGCCGGAACCTCGTTGAAGAACTTGGAGGCCCACTGGCTCAGAGCGCCCTGGGAGGCACCGTCGCCGACGAGAGCAATGTTGGGCTTGGTGTAGACCTGCTCGGCGAACGCGGCGATGGAGTATTCGTCAAGGTAGCCCTTCGTGGAAGTAGCGGACGAGGGGTACATGGGCGAACCGAGGCCGGAGTGGAAGGCAACGGTGTGGGCAGCATCCTGAGAGACGGCGGCAGGGTTGGCGGCGAGCTTGGCCTGCTTGAGGTGGATTGCCCTCTCGACATCCTCGTGGAACTCGTGGGCTGTTGATTTGCAATTAGTACATCAACAACAATTGATGGCGCAATTGGACTTATGGGATGATGAGTTCGTCATACTGGTGTATCGGGTTTGCGTGAGGACCTCAGCAAGGAGCTCGGCGAAGTAGGGGAGATCCTCTCGGAGGAAGCCGGCCTCGAGAACGAGAGCCTCTCGGGTGTGGTAGGCGTTCAATTGGCCGCCGAGGAGTTCGGTTTCTCTTGTGATCCTGAGAGCCGAGCGCTTGGAAGTGTTCTGTGATGGTCAACGGAAAAATTTAGCTCAAATTCGACAATCGAGACGCTCGGACAACCGGGAACCACGACGACGACGGACCTTGAAAGCAAACTCCTCCAATCCCACGGTCAGACCGGGAAGAGGCTGATACCTGGTGCCGGCCTTGACGACAACGGCGAGCTTGGAGGTTTCTCCGTGGCCATCCCTCGAGGCGACCTTGACGCCGGCGGCATCGTACGTCTCGAACGATGGACCGGAAGCGGCTGCGGCGAAGCCTCGAGCCTGGATGGGCCGCGCAGAGCGCATGGACCCAAGGGCAAGCCGAGTAAGGGACGATCTCGAGATCATTGTCTAAAGGGGTGGATTCGGTGTCGCGGTGGACAACAATCAGGGCAGCCTGTGCTTTGCGTGATCCAGACAACTTGCTGTGTGGTCGACACAGCTAAAAAGAAGATCTTTGGTGTCTCCGTCTTATTTTCGGCAAGCTCCAATTGGTCAGGTGATTTTCCGAGGAATTGAAATCACTCAACTCGTCTCTTCAATTCGGTTGGTCACAAAAACCAGCTGTTGGCAGCCAATACCAATTGCCAGGATTATGTGTCCCGGAGATTAACACTATGTACATAATTGCATATGACTTTTGACTCCACCGTTCGGACTGTGTGGAGGGGGACAAGCGCAACGAGGAAAAAAAAAAATGTGAGAGTCATCAGGACGATCGAGTATGTCAACCACATCTCAACGCGTGCCACTCCCTAACGCTTTCGTCTAGTCGACTGCTCTACACTAGCATTCAATGAAGCCGCGGTAGCATCCGATTGACTGTGGAAGCTCTCGCGAGAGATAGTGAGAGGATCTCTTGGAGCAGCAAATTCCATCGCCACCCCTCCCTTCCAGATCTTAATCACCCCTCCATCCCTCCAGCCTACTTCTATACGCCAAGCAGAATATCATAGCCTCCCCACCAAATCATGATTATAGTGGGTTAATATGCTTTTCCCAGAGTGACACCTTTCGTGTCTGCGGGCTATCCTAACCGGTTCGTGATGTATTTACAGACAAAGCATGCGGCAGAGCTCTGCACTCTGCTCGTAAACGACACATTCGGCGAACTGCCTTCGGTATGTGCCCTCTTTTCGCCCCTTTGAGCGTCCGCTCCCTTCAAACCCCGGGCTATATTGTCATGGGCGATCGTTTCCACTAATGCTTGTCTTGCCTCTTATTGTAGCGCATCATCGAGGCACTCGTCCAGAGAGGACCTAGCCGTCTCCCACAGCTCTTCGAACGAACCGGCCTTAACCCTCCTCAAGTTCGCCACGGCCTCGCCGTTCTCATCCAACACAACCTCATTTACTATAGCGTCAACAAAGACACGAAAGTTACCACATACGAGGTAAACGCCGATGCCTGCTATAACATCATCCGCGTAGGGCGAATCGTCGATCTCGTCGGCTACCAGTACGGACGCGCTGAGCAGGAGGTTGTCCGAAACCTGTTCGCTCTAGGACATGTGCAGATCGCGGATCTTGCCCAAGCTTTTGGTACTCAGGGCAAGTCTGCAGCCCAGCCCGCCACGAATGGCGATGGCCATGCGCACGACGAGAACTCGACCAACGGAAATGGGGTCGTAAGCGCCAACTCGGGACCAGTCATTAAATCAGTCTTCCAGCTTCACGAGGTCATTGGCCGCCTCATCCAATACGAGATACTCGAAGTCGTCGACCCAGAGTCGTTCGCCAACCCGGAAACCGTCTATACCGAGATCGAACAAGAATACACTAAAAAGGCCTCCCAGACCAAGTCAGCTAAGGGCAAGGAGGACCTAGCGCGAGAGAAAGCCGCCGAGCTGCGCGCTGTTAGAGATCGCGGTAAACGACTCAAGAGAAAGCTTGACGCCGAGGATGGGTTTCCCAGTGTCAAGAGGAGAAAGCTGGCGAATGGTGAAGCGAACGGTGCCTTCTCCCCCCCTTCCAAAAGACGAGTCCTCGATGTTAGTTCCAATCCAAGCTTTGTATATGAGGGACATTTGGGATTTGCTGACACTAAGACTAACCTAGTCATCCACCGTTGTACGGATCAATTACGAAAAGTGTCAAGTCGATTTGAGGAACGACAGGCTTGGTCGGTTCGCAGCCGACGTTATCGGCCACACTACCTCCGAAGTTTACAGGGCTCTCCTGCGGCTCGTCACAACAAAACTGTCCCGGTGCAAGGAAGACTCGAGAATCGATGGAGCCTACAGCGACATGTTCGACGATGGCACCGGAGACATTAAAGTAACTACTTTGGAGATTCTAGAGAGCCTTGACCCTTCGATCAACCTGTCGACCGACATTGGACGAGTCAGCAAGAGCAGCGTTGATCCGAATATTTCAGATCGCCTCTTACAACTGGCAGCTATTGCCGATACGAATGGCCTCGATGCCAACGGCGGAGGTAGCACAGTTAAGGTGGGTCATAACGGTCACGTTAGCGACGACGAATTCGACTCGGACGACGACATACCAACCACCAAACCAGGCTCCACCGAACGAAACGGCGCCAGCAATGGCCATGTGAAGTTTGACAATGTTCAGACTCCCGCCGAACAAAGGGTGGAGCTACTGCGTCGGCACCTCTTTCTCCTATGCGAAAACAAACATCATTTTGCGCGGTATTGCGGTATCTTGGGCGAGGGCCAATGGACCGTTGACTTTGACTTGGTCATGCAGACGTTGCGGCAAGTCGAGTTGGACTCGATCATTGAGCAAACAACTGGCCGACGTGGTCTTCGGTTAACGCGCATCCTGCGGCAGTTTGGCCGTCTGGACGAAAAGGTTATAGCCGACAAGGCTCTCATGAAGAAGCCTAGCCTGCAAGGAAAAATGGCGGAGCTACAGAAGGCCGGCTTCGTCGATGTCCAAGAAGTGCCGCGCGACAATAATCGTCTTGCCAACAGGACAATGTTCTTCTGGTACTATGATGCCGATCGGACATGTCGGCAGCTGCCCGATAGGATTTACAAGATGATGCTCCGGTGCTTGCAGGTGCTCGAAGTGGAACGACACAAGGTCAAAGACATTCTCGAGTTTGTGCATCGAACGGACGTCAAGGGCAAAGAGGAGGAGGTGATGACTCCCGAATATTACGACAAGTACAGCAAACACCTTGAGCTGGAAAGGAAGCTACTTGGGCACGCGATGAAGCTTGACGACATCATCGCGGTACTGAGGGATTATTGATGAGGAGAGGAAAAAAAAGCATATCATCGTCAGCCTTTCATATGCCTACCAGGCGCATAGCTTATGCGAGAAAACTTTGTACAAAAGAAGAAAGGAAAAGGGGAGAAAAAAGGGAGGAAGATGGATTGCTCTGTTACTGGATGTCGGGGGGATGGCATCCGTTATACCCCTACATGTAGCGTCCGGTGTTTTGATAGATGGACCGTACCCCGGTATAGTGGACAAGAGCGATGCAATCTGGCGTATGCCGTGAACATTATTAGACTGAGCCCAGTCCCCGAAAAGCCCGTCGCACTTTTTTCATCACCTCGTCCTCTCGAAACATTTGCTAGACCTGGTTCAAAGTTCGCCTGTTCGTGCGAGCTGGTGACAGACAATTCGGGCCGCCAGCAGAAACGCGACACCTGCTGTCCTTGACTGGACTCCACCTCGACATTAGGTGGAGGTGTCAGGGATGCCGTTTTTGGCTGGCGGGTGCGGTGCCATTTTTAGAACCCTCAACACCTTGATGTACAGTAGTACCAACTTAAGGACTTAAGGTACTGTACCTTCCTTTGTCCACACTACGGGCTCTGCACCCACTGTGGGCTTATACAATTCGACTCTAAGCGCTGGAGGCCAAGAAGCTGGATGATTAGAAAAGTGCCCCAACAGCGATGGAACAAAATATAAAATAGTCGGAGTCCTCTGTTCAGCAGCGCTATTTCTGAAGACAAAGAAGAAAAAGGAAAAGAAAATCCATCTTTTGATTTCTTTTCTGGATCATGGAGCAGATTACCTTGCGTAATTTGTCAAGGCAGCTAGGGACGATCACCTCGTTGGCTTCCCAATGACCAATACTCTCCCGTAGACCCGTCAGCGTGCAGACAACCCTGTCAATAAAATGGCGGCTTGCAGTATCTCAGCTCTCCTGGGCAGCCCTCTGCCCTCGCTGGGAAAGGCTCAAATATCTGAATATCCCCAATTCTTTAAAGCAAGCTCAAATTGTTTCCTGTCGTACTTTCAATCCTGCGTAGATAGTATGGCCAAACCTTGGTTCTTCGTTGCAGCATTCGCACCCTTCGCGGCCGCGGCCGGCGACCTAGACGACTTCTCAAATAATCTGGCGACTGACCTCGGACCTCTCCTCGCGCTCTTCGGCGAAAATATGACAAAGCAATACTTGAGCGAGAGCACGTCCTTCGTGGACTACTTCATCTTCGCAATGGCTCCTACCGGCATTATCACTGCGATCGTTTCTACCATACGAGTTTGCGGTAGTTCGGCCTTGCGTGCGTTCATAGGCAGGGCTCAGGAAGGGAACGGAACTGTTGAAGCAGAGCTATGCACATCAACAAGCCGTGACGTCTGCGAGCTCTTCAACAATGGCAGCATCACGAGAGCCCTTGGAAAATCCAGAATCCTGGAGATCATACACATCCCAGGCGAACCATCCGCCACGAACGATATAGGGATTTTCCTCTTCCAAGACTACCTTCGAAGTCTTGACGACAATTCGGAATGGGTGGAGGACAAACGGCATGGTGTTTTCGGTCGTCTTCGTCACCCAGATCTAGAAAATCCAGAGAAAAAGAACGGAAGAGAATTACCCGATACCGTCGTGAATCCCAATCTCTCAATCAATGTCGGCATCGCAAAGCTCCAAATGAGATACTTTTATTTCCTGGCAGGCTTAGGCTTTATCCTCCAGACAGGAGTAATCGTGATGGCCTGTGTATTGTCACTGCATCAGCAATGGACGAAAGACGGAAAGCCAGAATCGCTGATGGAAGTTAAACTCGTTATCTCGGATAACCCCTCCGCGATTTTGTTTGTGTTGGGTACGACTTGTCTATGCGCTGGGATGTTTTGGTGCGCCGCCTTGATCGGCCAGATCACGGACGAATGCTTCTACCGTCGGAAAGATGGCCTGCAGCCGCTATCGCGGCTCTTCTGGCTTCAGCCAGGGAACCTCCGCGTCGGTGACCAAACTTTCGACTCGTTTGCTTACAGCGAAAAACTTGAGGATCCTAAAAGCCGACTGTCCAAGTATACGATTTCGAGAAAGAGAAATAGCCCTTCTCAATTGCATACGTGGGGAGCGATAATCTTCACACTTGGAGGTTATATAATGCAATTCATCGGTCTGAGAGGGATGACTGCTTATGTCTCCATCGCTCAGCTCGGAATCTCTATTCTCATGAGTTTCTTCCGCGGCTGCCTGCGGATGCGTCGCCTTAAGAGTGATGATAACGAGCTTCATAATATCCTTAATGATGTTCCTGGGCACGAACTCGACTGGCTGGCCTTCAAGATCGCAAGCACGGACGACGGCGACAGAGCTGAAAACATCAGCGCCGGGAATAACTCTTCGCCCCCACCAGACTGCCTACAATGCGCAGACAGCAAACAGCCTCAGAGCACTTTAGAGTTCCGGTTCGAGGAAACTGTAGTCCGGCATAGGGCTCGTCTAGCCCGCTTAACCGGCCATGGCCCCCTTCAACCCCCAAGTTGTCAGAAATGGGCCGATGATCAAGTCAAAGTCCGTGTTCAAGCCCGAAAGCTAGCAGACGCAATCGGCCAGGCTGCCGAGATCCTCCTTGGCCAACGGAAGGAACCTATGCAATTCCCGGTTACCATATCGCGCAGGCAAAAGAGGTCTTCTGAAAGCCCTCTCACGTTGACTCTGAGACGGCCTGAGGGCGGGTCCCAAAGTAGGTTCGACCTCGATTCTGCAGAGCTGGAGGGAGTTTTAGGTCCCTGGCTCTGGCTATTAATGAAACGCCAGATCCCGGACGCTAACGGTAATGCCGCAATGCCGGCATCAACGAGGGGACTAAGCAGGGACTTTGATCAGACCAAGATTCTAGGAGCTGAACAGATCCGAAAGGTACGAATCATCTCGGCTTGTGCTCCCGACAAGGGTAGCCGGCAAGGAATTTCTGAAGGAGAGATGGGCCTATGGCTTGGCAAAAACAAAGTCAATCTCTCCGAGGCCAATTTAAATCCGAACTGCGAGCATGATTGTGACAGCTTCACTCTCTGGGAGGAAGGACCGGAGGGCTGGAGACCGGTTTCGGGATATGCCCGGGAAGATTCACAACAATTCCGCTGGATTTTTGGTTGGAATGCAGCATTGCCTTCCATTTCTCCAACCGGCCCCTTGAAATCGGAGCCGAGAATTAAGATTCTATTCACACACACACTGAGTTCACTCCTTTCTGAGTGCAGTATGGAGCTTTTCGCAGCAGCAATGGCTTCGATGGCCGATTCTTCAGAGGTCGAGATCAATGTAACACCCGAAGAAGTTTCAGGTCAGCTCCGGTGGATGAATGGTCAAATAAATGACATCGTCACAACATTTGTCACGAGCGGCTTGGGATCAAGTACTGATGCATTCCTATGTACCGTCCCGGCCCTCCAAAAGAAGCTGAGATATCCTGATGAAAAGGCTCTTGCTGATGCGGCCAGACACTATCGCGTGAATGATGAGTGGGAACGAGCCGAAAGTCTGCTAAAGGCGGCTTGTGTCCGTTACGAACAGCAACTCGGTGAGGAGCTACACCTGGCCCCGGACCATCACGGCGCGCACCCTAGAGATGACCTCTCTGGCGCCCTGGTGGCACTGTGTGAGCTCTACCGCTGGTCCTTTGTTTACGACAGGAACGAGAGAAGCAATTTCGGCTATAATGGCATAAAATGGATGCTTGCCAGATACGGACGAGGAGAGTTAAAGCTAAGGCCCGCAGAAGAAATCGTTCAAAGAATACGGGAGGTTCTTGATCTCTATTACCAGGTTACACTCCGGGTTTCGATAGATCGTGGTCAGGAAAAAGAGTTTCAAGTTGAATGGTACCCTGACAACAGCACGCAAGTCGAGGAACATGAGAGCCTTGTTGATGCTATAGAGAAGAGGGACAAAGCCACGGCCTTGTACTATCTTTGCTCTGTTACTACCGAAGCCCTCAACTCTGACCAGCAGCCGGCACTTGCTCTAGCTGCTCGGAATGGCTGGCACGAAGTCGTTAGGGCCCTTCTTGATCTCAATGCATATGTAGACGGTCAGGACAGGGAGGGGCGAACAGCGCTTTCATACAGCGGAGAAGGCGGCAACCAGGCAATCGCTAAAACGCTATTAGAGAATGGCTCATTCCCAGACAAACTCGATAATGAAAAGCGCACACCATTATCGTGGACAGCCGGGAACGGGCAGGCGGCTATGGCTGAGCTCTTACTCGAGACGGGGAAGGTCGACGTGGATTCGAAGGATAATAGCAGCTGCACGCCGCTATCGTGGGCCGCCCGGAACGGACACGAGGCCGTTGTAAAGCTGTTACTTGGGACGGGAAAGGTCGACGTGGACTCAAAGGATAACATCTGTGGCTGGACGCCGTTATCGTGGGCTGCCCAGAATGGACATGAGGCCATCGTCAAGCTGTTACTTGAGACGGGGAAGGTTGATGTAGATTTGAAGGATAAGGAGGGTGCGACACCATTATCGTGGGCTGCTGAGAATGGACATGAGGCCGTCGCCAAGGTATTACTTGAGACAGGAAAGGTTGATGTGAATTCGAAGGATAATCACAGCTGTACGCCACTATCGTGGGCTGCCCGGAATGGGCATGTGGCTGTGCTTAAGCTATTACTCCAGATGAGAATAGTGGCTGTGGATTCGAAGGATATATATGGTGGGACACCATTATGGTGGGCCGCCCAGAATGGACATGAGGCCGTTGTCAGGCTATTCCTTGAGATGGGAAAGGTCGATGTGGATTGGAAGGATAACATCTACGGCCGGACGCCGTTATGGTGGGCCGCCCAGAATGGACACGAGGCTGTGGTCAAGCTGTTACACGAGACAGGAAAGGTTGATGCAGATGTGAAGGATAACATCTATGGTTGGACGCCGTTATCGTGGGCTGCCCAGAATGGACATAAGGCTGTGGTTAAGATATTACTTGAGACGGGGATGGTAGCTGTAGATTCGAAGGATACGAATGGTGGGACACCGTTATCGTGGG